TGGGGGAGGGGCAGGGCAGGTATAACTTATTTCTAGGAGATTGTCTTACATTCAGGGTCACCATCCTTTCAAGTAAATATGGTGTGTGTAATGTATCCAGTCCAGACAAGTCCAGAGACAAATGCAGAGCTTTGCTCCAAGAGACAATGGACTATGCGGATCCTAGCCCGCTCCAATCAGGGGGCTAGGTTCCCAGCCAAGAGCCTATGGGACTCTCGGCCACTGTAAATAACCTATAGGGAAGTAGGGGTGTTTTTTGGGTGGCGGTTTCTCGGGGGATATAAGCTGGCCTGCGAGCCGGCCAAAGTCGTCTTGTTCCTGATCGAATAAAGTACGCTTTGCTGAAATCACTCTCCGTCTGTGTACTTTTCAGTGTCTGTCTGTCCATCCATTCATCTAGAGACTGTAATACACTCAGAATTATGTTTACACCTTATCAATGCTGTACATTTATGTCAATAATATACTACTTTGGTTATCTTGGTTTTCCTACAATTATCCAGAGACGTTACAGCTTCTCTGCCAGAGGTCTCTAGTCCCCACACAATTTCAGTCCCCGGGATTCCTTGATTAGAGTGAATGATTGTATAAAGCTGCACTGCGGATATGCCCTTAAACTTCTCCTTTTACCATCTTTGTACCATTACCGTATAGATGACTCCATTTCCTGCTCCATTACAGTCCTATTTGGAATGAAGCGAGAGCCTCCTGTTCCGGCTGGTTGTGGCTTGGCTGCCTGGAGCTGCCGAGCTACATGGGTCCCCTCTGCCTCTTCCTTGCAGAAGTTCGACACAAGCTGCCGACCAGTCCTGCCACCTCTACTGAAAATATGAGACTTACTATGTTGGGGGCCAAACAAGAATGTTTGGGGCTTCCTTCAGACTGGCTGCCCAGAATTAGACTTGGTCCCTCTGATGACCAGAATTAGGAATGGTAGTAGGAATAGTGCAGATTGCCAGAACTTCGATAAGGCTAACTGGCCAGCAGTACATTGCTGGTTGACGGGGCATTCCCAACTTGGCAACCTCTAATTGGCCTCAGCAGGAAGGTGGATTGTGGAAGAGCCTCTTTTGGTGCTGAGCCGCATCAACCAAGCCCTGCATTGGCTGACTGGTATGTGGGGGATGGCGATGCACCCGATATCTCTTGGTGCAGTTCTGATGCACAGGCAAAGAGAAGCAAAACTGCTGGTGGCACTAGGAGACAGGAGGCATGCGGGTCAAATTCTGCGCAGGGAACTCAGTTCCCAGGTGCATGTGGACCTGTGTCAGGTCAGGAACATGGATGGCACACGAGGAGGAGACAAATGATAGTTCTCCAGCACTATTCTCCTGACCTGGAATGACTCTGGAGAATCATAATTTGTCTCCTCCAGGCAACTTACATGTAGCTGTCAGTAATGTGATGTTTCCCAATGGGCTGTTTCAGATTGGGGAAATAAGGCTCGAGATATGGGTGCTTTGTGATGTGTGAATCAGCCCTATTTAGGGTGATTTTTTAAATTATCATTCCGATGGGCCTCAGTAAATTCATACACTTTGTTTTTCAGGACTTCATTCTGGGATCCCGTAACTAAAGTGACACAAAACAGTTTGTAAGCTTTCCAGTTTACTAAATCTTTCCAGAGCCAGTGTCGTGCAGGGGAAAGAATGTTGGAAAATGGTCTGGGAGATCCATGTTCGAATCCTCACGCTGCCATGGAAGTTTGCTGAGTGACCTCGGGCCAGTCATATACTGTCAGCCTAGCTCACCTCACAGGGTCGTTCCCCTTGTTCAGACTGGCAGTTTGAAGCAGGAGGGAGTCGTGGCAAAAAAGACCGGGTTTTCCCGGTCACACTGTGCGGACTGATGTGGGAGCATACCAGGAGGAGGTGCAAGGGAGCATTCACACTGTTGGCCTGGAGGCGTGGCTGTGGCATTTTCCTCATGGCAGACACCTAGGCACAGTGACAAGTAGGGCAGAATCTGGCCGCTGTGGCCAATAGGCACATCCGGCGACAGCACTACCCCCTCTTCAAGGGAATCACCTGCACCTTCCTGGTGCCAGAGTGAGGCTAGGAGGTCAGTCAGCGTAAACAGCCAGCACACATTATTAACCCGGGCTGTTCCCGGCTTTTAGCGGTTAGCGTTCACACTTCCGGGAAGCGGAATGAAGTGGGATAAACGGGCTCTCCAGGGTTTGCTACCACTTTCACCAGGTATCTTTTAAACCCGGGAGGCAAGTGCTACAACACGGGTTGAGTACGGGTGGGGAACGCCAGACAGATGGGCCTGTGTGAACGGCCCCTTTAATCCGCTTGTGAAACGTTCCTCACACGCGCCTATATCGGGGCAAACTGCCAGTCTGAACTCGGCCGTTGTGATGATAAAACAGAGGAGAGGAGAATGATGTGAGTCGCTTTCGGTTCCCATGGAGGAGAAAGAGGGGATATAAATAAAATAAGGTAATTAATAAAAGTTAACAGATTTTTTTTAAAAGAGAGAAAGGTTTTGGGGAGGGGAAGAATAAGCCGCCCTGAGCTACCGGATAGGGCAGGGTACAAATCCCAAAATAAATAAATAAATAAATAAATAAATATAAATAAAATATTTCAAGCCAAATACCTGTGTTTGCAGCCCTTACGTGTTTATGTAGATTCAAAGGCACTTGGCTCTAAAGCTGGTACTGTTGATATTAGGTTTTTGTTGGGGGGGGGAGAAGGGGGGGATCGGTGTTTTTCCATCGGAAAGACCAGGGCCAGCAAGTCTGCTTGTGTCTCCCTGAGGGCGATTCAGAGATCTTTTGCAGGCTGACAGCAAACAAATTACTTGTCAGTCACTCTGGAAATAGGGATGCTGGAGGTAAATTCATGCCTGATTCAAAACCCTGTGCAAGTGGGGAAGTTATAATATACCCAATCTTTCCAGATCCTTGGCCCACATTGTGGAAGGCTGGGTGGGGGAATTTCCCCACCAAATCATTTTGGGGTGGGAGGTGGAACTGCACATGGTATGCAAGAGCTACCGGGTGAATTGTGCACACCGCTGCAACACACTGTTGCATATTCCTGGCCTGCACGTTCCCCCCCCCCCCCCCCCCTCACTCACCTTCCGTGACCTTTAGAACGCTACCAAGAGTGGCAAAAGCTTGCACAGGCCACCGCCTCTGCCCCAAGAACAGAGCAAAAAAAAAAAGGGGAGGAGATGAGCAGCAATATTGTCATAAAGAAGCATAGGGTGGCGCTTGCCCCTCTCCCGTCCCTCCTGGAAGATTTAAAGGGCCCTTCAGCGGATCAGCAGAGAGCCTGTGGCCTGCTGATCAGCCGGAGAGCCCTTTAAATCTTGCTGGAGGGGAAGGAGAGGGGCAGGCACCACCCCACACTTCTTCTCAATGGCATTAAAAGGATCCCTTTAAATGCTGTTGGGAAGAAGCAGGGGGTCTTTCAGGAAGGGGGAGGAACCCCCAATAGTTATGGGGCCAGAGTCTATCAATGGCTCCTACCTCCACATTCAGAGGCACCAATCCTCCGATTCCCAGAGGCAGGAGGTCTCCTCAAGAGAAGGCCCGGGCCTATCTGGCCTGTGGTTGGCCACCCAGATGAGCTGGCGGGTCCCTGCCTGAGACAGGAGGCTGGAGTCTGGGGCGGATTAAGGCTCACTGGTGCCCTAAGCACTGACCAATCTTGGTGCCCCCGATCTTGCTGTCATAGCCTGTGACAGGACACCTGGCCAACAAAGAACAGAAGATAACCCTAGGGTGCGCCAAGATCAATGTGCCCTAGTTTTATCTTTTTTTTCTTTTACAAATCATCATTTGTTTTTTCTTTTCTTTTCACCCTTTCCCCCAACTTTGCGGTGCCCCCTTTGGCCCTGGTGTCCTAAGCACGTGCTTAGTCTGCTTCATGGCTCATCTGCCCGTGGCTGGAGTGGAGGGACCTTGACTGGCCTGACCCGGCAAGGGTCTCCGGCCTCCTACCTGTCCCGCCACGCCCATGCAGAGGTGCACCCAGTGCCGGATTTATGCATAAGCTAAACAAGCTACAGCTTAGGGCCCCGCAATCTGCTGGGGCCTCAAATAAAAAGACAATACAAACATGATTTCAAATATTAAAAAGGTATATATCCAGGGCTCTAGTCGGGGGGGAGCTCTCAGGTATGGAGCTCCGGAAGAGAACCTCTAGGGGGCGGGGCGGTCATGTGGTGAAGCCCCGCCCCCTTCTTCGATCCTCATTCCGTTCGGGAATGAGGACGAAGCAGGAGGGTAAGTAGCCGGGCCTTCTGACACACTTCCGGTGATGTCAGGGGGTGTGGCCTTCTGTCACTTCCGGTGATGTCAGGGGGCGTGGCATATGCAAATAAGTTATGCTAATGAGTTATGCTAATGAGCTCCGGCAGCTCTTTTTCTACAACAAGACCCCTGTATATATCTATTATTTTTTTTTTCCTGAGACCAGCTGACGTGATTTAAAACAGTAGGGTTTTGTATAGCTTAGGGCCTCAGCAAGTCTAAATCCGGCCCTGGGTGCACCCCCCACCCCCAAGAGGCTGCCGGCCGGGGGCTTCCACGGGAGTCTGTCCGGAAGGGCAGAAAAGAGCCGGTGAGCTCCTCCCCGGCCCGGGGCTCTCTTCTCCCCTGACCCCCCCCTCCCCGCCCTCGACGCGCTCCCTCCAGAAGGGGCTCCGGCCCTCCCCTCCCCT